AGAGCTTGATGTTGTTTTATTATTCAAAGTAATATCTGTTCAAATCTGTAAAGCCTATTGCTACTATTCTTTGTGTTGTCAAGTGTAATAAGGAAGTTCAGGTGTAAAAAAATACTTTATGTCTCTCAACAAAGCTGTAATCTCAAGAATCTTACAGCTGCAAAAGTACATAATTGTAACGTATTATGAGACACTACAAGTGACAGACGAATGTGAAGAAATGTGTGTGTGTATATAGTAGCGATAGTGTAGTATTTCTGTGTTTGTGCATGAATTGTTGTTGGTATGCAAAATTTGTTCAGCATCTAAGTGCAAAAAACCATAATAATAATAATAATGATAATAATAATGATAATAATAATTTAATTTATATATATTTGAATGCTAATATATTTCATGAGAACTGAATGAGGAAAAAAAGTTGGAGAAGATTTCATCACCGGAAAGCCTAAGAAAAAAACTCCTCTTTTGTGATTTTCATATTCTGAAAAATAATTGGACATTGATTATTGAAAATATTCTCACCAAAGTTCTGCAGTCGTTTCAGCAATTTTTTCTACATTTTAAACAATTCTTCTTTGATAAGTTTTAATTGACTGATACTGTGTAATGTTTCGCCGCTAAGCAGCCTGAAAGAATCACAGACGTACAAAAAAAATTAGGACGAGAAGAAATGGTGTAAAGAAAAAGGAAATTGTTGAAATAACTGTATGGACATGAGGTCTGTTGATATTTCATTAGGTATCAACAATTTGATTTGAATGTTGTTCGACAGAATTTTTTGTAGGCTGAAGTAGCCAAGGGTACTTTTATGCCATGGACTATCCGGGGTGGTCAAGAAGAATTCTTAACAGCTGTTAGTGTTATTGGTGCAGTTATTATGCCGCATAATCTATACCTGCATTCTTCACTAGTCAAGGTTTCTTTTGTATCGTTTTTTATTCTCTTGTCTTTATCTTTATTTTTTTGTTTTTTCAACTTTGAAGAAGAAAAGCCTTCTTAAAGAGCAGATGTATTTCTGGCTCTTGAAAATAACAACAGAATTACCGCATATGCGTTAAACCGTCTGTAACATATACAGCCAAAAATGGATAATGGAAGACTGACAAAAAAAAGTGAAAAAATTGCTTACTCTGTTTGTTTCTAGCAAACTTCAAATGTTATTCTAACGTAATCACAAAAAATTGATATGGTAAGTCTATTTTCACAGATAATAAATGAAAGAAAATTGATTTTGATTTACTGCAAAACTTCGCTCGTTTTGTGGCACTCAAATGATTTGCTATCAGTTGGCTCTAAAAGAGACGACCGGTTGAACAAAACACTTGGAAAAACTTGGTGCCATACGAATCATTTCTTTCAAACGC